ATGACTCGTGGACTTCAACTCCCAGAATTCCTGAGCCAGCATGGGGGAACTATGGCCCTTTCATGACTCGTGGACTTCAACTCCCAGAATTCCTGAGCCAGCATGGGGGAACTATGGCCCCCTCATGACTGGTGGACTTCAACTCCCAGAATTCCTGAGCCAGCATGGCTCAGCATGGAAACCTCTCCCTTTCCCCTCAGCATGGCTGGCTCAGGAATTCTGGGAGTCGAAGTCCACGAGTCATAAAAGAGCCAAGGTTTCCCACCCCTGTACTAGACCAACAATCAAGCAGGAAAAAGGTGACTTAACAATCCTCACCCTTAGCAACCACTGCTGCGTCCTTGCGGTCATTTGATCACACAGTTCAGGCACTTGGTAACTGGCCCCTATTTATGACGGCTCCAGTGCCCCAGGGTTATGTCCACGCTATTTGCATCCTTCCCAGGAGACTTCCACTAGCAATGAGGAAAGCTGGATTTTCTTAACAACCCCGTGACTTGATCAAAAACCATGGTAAAAAAAAAAAATTCCAGCCTGTGTTTCTGTCTAAGTCAAGAACGACCTATACAGGTCTACCTTTGTGGTGACATTCTTGTGGGTCTTAACAGAAACAAAAGGCATATGACTTTCTCGTTTCTAAGAAAAAGAAAAAAAGAAAAAATTAGCTGCTATTGTGGGATCTCGCGATTTTTAAAACAGTTTGATGTTTGTTTATTCGTGTCAGAAGCACGAATAAACAAACATCAAACCGTTTTAAAAATCACAGTTCAAATGAGGCAGACTATATCAGGGCTTTTCAACCTTTTCACCCATTGTACCACTTTTAGGATATGGCAATATCCAAATACCACCAGTCGCCTAGCAAGGTGTCAAAAACTTGATGAGCCAAAAAAAAAAAAAAAAGGAAAAAAGTGATAAAGTACAGGTAGTCCTCGACTTACAACAGTTCGCTTAGTGACTGTTCGAAGTTACAATGGCACTGAAAAAAGTGCCCCCCAAGCCACAGCCGAGCAAAACACCTGCCTGCCCGCCCGGCCGCACTCTTCCTCCTATCTGAGGTTTTCATTGTGAGCATTTCTGTTGAGGATAGGCAGTGGGGGGTGGGGGTGGGGATGTGTGTGGTTTTTATTCCCCCCCGTCTGCTGGGTGGTTGCAGCAGGTTTTGGTCACTTCACATGACCCTGTGACACTGTGACCGTCATAAATATGAATCAGTTGCCAAGCCTCTGAATGTACATCACAAGACCCTGGAGAGGCTGCAACATTCCAGCTGATCGGTGCTTCTTCTGGGCTCAGCAGAAGCACCAGGACCAGCGGCAAGCTACATCTGGGGCCTGGCGCTGATCCTGGCACTTCCGCTGAGCCCTGACAGCTCCGAAGAAGCGCCGATCAGCTGGAAAGCTGATCCTGGGGCTTCCTCTGAGCCCTGACAGCCCTGCAGCTCCAGCTGTCTCTCGCTCAGGCTTGTGCGGTGCTGCCACCAGTTCAGCTCATTCTCCTTCCCCACTACCACTTTTCTAGGATGGTCGTGTACCACCTGCCGCGTGCCAATGTACCACAGGTGGTACCCGTACCACTGATTGAAAAGCCTTGCTCCAATGTACGCTGATCGGGACACAAAAGGGCAGATAATACCTGTGTGTTGTCACCACAATCGCAAAGGGAAGAAGCCACCAGATAGCCCAGTTTGTTCAGTGTGCGTCTCCGGAACTTCTTGCGCCTGTGCGCAGTCTACAGGTAGTCCTCAACCTACGACCGCAGTTGAGCCCAAAATTTGTGTTGCTTAGTGAGACCTTTGTGAAGTGAGTTTTGCCCCCGTTTAGGACCCTTCTCGCCACAGTTAAGTGAACAATGTGGTTGTTAAGTGAATCTGGCTTCCCCGTTGACTTTGCTGGTCAGAAAGTCACAAAAAGGGGGGATCAGGTGACACCCCGGGGACACGGCAATCGTCATACATTCATGCCAGTTGCCCGTCCAAATTTCGATCTCTTGACCCTGAATGCTGTAATGGTCGTTAAGTGTGAAAAACAGTCCCAAGTCACTTTTTTTCAGCGCTGTTGTAACTAAGCAAATGGTTGTAAGTCGAGGGCTAGTTATATAGCAGTGTTTCTCAACCTTGACAATTTTAAGGCATGTGGACTTCAACTCCCAGAATTCCACAGCCAGCAATGCTGGCTGTGGAATTCTGGGAGTTGAAGTCCACATGCCTTAAAATTGTCAAGGTTGAGAAACACTGCTATATAGTGTTTACAGTAAGCAGTTATGGTGGGCTATGACTGGGGAGATGAGGGTTCAAACCTATTTTTACAAACTCAAGGTGATTTTTGAATCGGATTTTGTTCTGATTATATTACTATTTTCTTCCCCCCCCCCAGTTGGTACCATACCTGAACAACTTGGGCATTGCTGTTGCGGGCAGCTGCAGGGGCACGAAATCAGGGGCCGAAGCTCTTCAGGTGAGCAGTTTCTCTTTGTCCCCTTCCCCCCCCCCCATCCAATTTTAAGGGAGGGGTTTGCAGGAGTAAAGGTACAAAGCCTCTAAACAGCCCTTTTGCCCAGGGATTGTGAAGCCTTCCCACCCAGTTCATGAGGCTGGTGGAGATAATTCAACTAATTAAAGAGACAGAGGGTGAAGAGTGGTTAGATGACAGGCCAGTTCTGCTCTGGGTCTCCAAGCCTTTGTGGTCTGTTTTCTAAAAGACGGAAGAAGGGATGGAGAATATCTCCAAGGCTTTTAGCAACCAAATTATGGTAGGTCCACCAGTGTATGTGAGAAAGAGAGAGAGATGATATGAGATATAGAGGAGGTGGGGGGAAGATGAGAAAGATGAAAAATGTATGTATGTAGGGATGGATAGAGAGATGATGGATAGAGAGAGAGATGAGAAAGATGAAAAATGATGTATGCATGGATGGATGGATGGATGGATGGATGGATGGATGGATGGATGGATGGATGGATGGATGGAT